CGAGAAGAAGACCCAAGTGGACACAGAGGGTTCGGATATAAGTACCGGCCTCGCAGCTGACCCAGAAGACACCGAGGTGTCGGTCGTTGTCGAACTCGATAAGCTTGCTCTCGTGAATGGTTCGGATACGGAGCTGGCGCTTGACGGCAGAGATCAGAGGGGGTCGCTGGAAGAGCGCACCGGTGAGAGTCTCGAGAGCGCGGGCGAACTGGGCCTGGCCGCCGGGCAGCTTATCGTGAAGGCGGATGACAGCCACATATTCCTTTCCGGCACCCTGCTGAGACTTGACAAGACGAGTGGCACGGTCAATGCAAACGATCAAGCAACCAGTGACCTTGGGATCAAGGGTACCACTGTGTCCAGTCTTTTCGCATCTATAGGTAATATCATTAGCAGATAGTTCGACTTGGACGCGCACTTTGACGCGATACTCTTGGTTGGAAAATTTTCGTACCGCAGAATGCGCTTGACCCAAGCGACGACCTCGTGAGAAGAAGGGTTAGAGGGCTTATCGAGGTTGATGACACCAGAGCTGATGTATTGCTTAAGATCGCGCTTCAGGGGAGAGCAGCCATTGGGGATGGGAGTGAAGTGGCCTGTTCGGACAAGGACTGCAAGTTTTGAAGATTATCGGTTAGTCTTTGAATTTCGAATAAATGATCAATTGAGGCTCTACAAGCCACCAGAAAATATCAAAAACGCGCTTTGATCATCGAATTGTGTCAGGAAACTCACGCTTGTCGTAGTTCTTGAGCAGCAGAGGCCACTGGCTGGTGTCGAGAGAAGGAGTGGTCGCCTGGGGCTTGATGGTGTACTCCTCCTCCTCTGTCGTCGTCTTCTTGACGACCGCGACGTCCTTGGACATTGTGAACGGAATGTAGTTACCCTTTTAGAAATTGTGTGATATACCGGGTGAAGCGCGGCAGGTGCTTCTTTGCGACAGGAGGGAAGAAACGGAAGGTGCGAGTCGTTGGTTTCCTCAGTGTCTTGCCCGGTGTTGTTGGAAGCTTCCAAATTTTTTTTTCTCTGGTCGGATTTCATTGTGGAGACCGAAGGAAGCTGCGGCCGGTGTGTGGCGGCAATTGAACACTAATCCTGTTTTGGTTACCTCGATTGCTTTTAGCCACAGCAGCCACCAGATCTATTCGACCAAGTCATGTTCTCATGCTCACTCATCCAGCAGACATCACAACAGCAAAGACTTCAACGATATGCCTCAAGATACCGGCTGACTTTCAGTGGAAACTTTCAAGATTAGGTGGCTCTAGCTACTAGGCTGCCCTGCGCATCACATCATCCTGCAAGTGCAAGTCCGCAGTGGAGCTATATACATATATATATTTCATTCAGTTCAAATCGTGACATTTCAATAGTGGTATCCCATCCTTCAACGCCAAGCTAACGAGAGAAAAATACAGAGAGACAACTATGTTATCAGGCTCGTAGCACAGTCGAGCCTACGGCTCACGACCCATTCGGCCATTATCTTCGTGATGTTCATACGGGTTAGGGTATCCGTATGATTGATTCATATGGGTGATCCCTTCTGGAAAGTAACCTGGCTGCGAAGCAGTCGTGCGACTTGACTCTCCATAGGGATTGATGCCGGTCTGATATATTCCTATGCCCGCATGAGGATTTTCCACGGGTGTCATCTCATACTCTTCCCCTCGGAGGCCCTTGCCTTTTGAGTTGCCTGAATTGACAGAGGAGTCATCTCCGCCCAAAGCAACTCCTATCTGAGAGCTGCTTGGATCTGGTTGATACATTGAAGGGAACATCTGAGGAAATTGTGCTTGGCTATTCATCGCCGGAGTCATCTGTTGGTTGGGGGCCATGACTGGCCAGTGAGCGAGCTTGAGTTCAGTTGCGCTGACGGGACTGTTATACTGCGAGGCGTATGGTGACACATGGTGTGGAAACAGATGCTCGGATCGGACACTAATTGGCGATTCGTCCCAGCTTCTGAGTGGCTTTTGGCTGAGAGGAGTGTCGCGAGTTTCGCGAGGGATAGTCAGTGGAGTGGGCCAGGAATTGTTGTGTTTCGTTTCCAGCATACTGAGGAATGCCCTTCTTCGTCTCCTACCACGCCAGATGATACAAAATCCAAGGGTAAATAAGATGAAGGCCACCCCTCCAGCGGCGATGCCCACCTTGGCACCGAGACTAATAGGGCCCTGGTCGAGCCATTCTGGGTTCACGGAAGCAACTGGCGTGGGCTCTGTGACATTGACGTCGTCTCTAGAGAATATACTTCCTTCTGTAGAGACCAAGGTACCAGGCTGTGGTTTCTGTTCACATCCAGCTTGAAGAACAGTAATAACTATTTATGGTTAGTATATGAGCCAGAGAGAGAATTTATTGTCAGCAGACGTACAATTGGCAAGAAAATGGTTGTCGCCTGCTTGGAGGCACTCAGTACATCCAATAAAATCAGCTGTGTCGTGGACAGGCCAATTATCGCAATAGTCGTAGCTTTCGACGTCTGAGGATAAGTTGCGGTATACTATAGCATTGCGGAATGGCCCACATGCTTTTCTGTCGGGTGTTAGACCAAAGTCGCGTACAAAAGAAGGACATAACTGACGAGGTCAAACAAGGTGTGTCTATTGTGTTATTATTGTCAGGAATTCCGAAGAGGCAATACGAGGTTGCGTAACGCAAGTTGTCTAGAGATGATCAGTCCTCGGTTTTCATGCTGAAACGCAAGATCTCTCAACCTACAGAGGTAGTATTCCTGGTCTGTTTGATTGTTCTTAGTAGTGTAGTCGCTGCTTTGCTCACACGTCAGGCACTGTTGAAACACAATGCCTGCGCCACTGGTATAATCGCCTTCCTGGCAGACGACATCATCGTTTGTAGTCGCATCGAGAACATTGCCACATACTGTTCCACAGGGAGAATTGTCTGCGACGAGAATTGCGGCAGCTGGACCGAGCAGGCTCAGGCCTGTTGTTATCAATGTTAAACCACGCATCGCTAATGAAGCCGGCGGTAAGTTGTAAGGCCGAGTTGTTGATGGCCTTCAGTGGAAGGACCAGCTTTACTAGTTTGGCCGTCGTTAAGAAGCCAGGCTGAAGAGAACGGTGTCCGATGGAGGGGATGGGTCCGATGTGTTACACCAGATGATAGGCGAAGTAGAGTTTTATCTGCGCGCGCAGTAGGACGAAGTCTGCCGCCTTTGAAGGATCCTTGAGGGCCGGTTGACTATCGGCCGCGTCTTATTCTTATATGAGGCCCGGTCGCTTCTAAGGGCTCAGAGACGTCGTGACATGTGTGACACATGCCATGGGCCAGCAGCGCCTCTTGTGTCTGGCGCGGAAAATGAAGTGATTGTGGGGGAATCTGCTGTTCCAGCGCGGCTGTAGGTATGCAGAACTTGTGCCAGAGAACAAGTCAATGTGAACGATGCAAGTGACAAGTTGAAATGTCGTTGGTGATGAAAAGCCAAGAGAGCGTCAACTGCACCGCTATGGTTGCTGAGGCGCATAAGTAGAACTACAGGCAGTTCATGTCTGATTGGGGCCAAGGTTCCACCTCTCTTCTCCCAGCCTCCACATCCTCGAGATGTGATAGCTGCTTTGTGGTAAGAATCGACCATGATCCTTGCTAGGATTGGTCGGCATCTACGGCGTGGTCTGTTCTTCATCCCAGTCTCAAATTGTGATGGTGTTGAGAGAGGATGGTATATGAGGGGAACCAGCCACTCACAGTCGCTATCACGACAACCGCCACCCCCATCGAAGCCATGCTGCAAGGCCCCTGGTTCTTTCACACTAGCCCCGGCGGCTACAGGCTCAAATGATTGACTGTTGACCATCCAAACCCCATCCACTCGAATCGCTCGGTCTACCGCCCCTCTCACGGCTTTTCGGATACTGGTCTCTACTGCACCTATCACCGCACATCGATGGTGACTTGAGGCTTTGATTTCCTATGAGCCGCAAGTGCTGAGTCTATAGACTCTGTTTTTGATGTCACCGGCATTGTATGATGTCCTTTTCGATATTACGGATTGAATGTGGTTGTTTGCAAATATGTACTGGGTTTCTGCGAGTTTGTGGTGTAAGCAAAGGTATCTTGATGGTTTTGTGGCCCACATGGTAACGGAGGTGAAAGAAAGCCATACTCTGTACGAGCTTACCCTTTCTCTCCAAAGTGTTCAATCTCAAGAAACTTGTCCCTTAGGCATTGCACCACTCACTCCAACTGTCTTAATTACCTAAGCATCCATGGAACCTCATTCGGCAGCCTCATCGCAATCTCGGCCCCACCCCGTTCCGGAGCTCTTGGCTTCAGGATCGAAGCTGTCTTCACGGGTATCGGTATTGGTATAAAGTATCTGACGCTCACGCAACCCAAATACATCTTGAACCTGATCGCTATCTCATTTTCTCAGTTAAATATCCACAAGTAAGGTTTTGCAAGAAGCTTTATGGATTAGGTACTGATAAGCTTCCCATATAATACAGCTTCAACACGAACAACCCTTGGATAATGTTTACGAGCAATGAGCTCAGTGATTTCAAGGTTTTAATTCTGATGTTTTGTTTTCCTTTGTTCAGCTGCTATCCAGTGTCATTATCTACATAATGCGTAAATGCTAAATACCTACTCCAAAGCTCGCCCGCCATTTCAACGTCGCGAAACAAAGAAAGTTTTGTGAGGGCCAAGCCTCCAGTGAACATAAGCATACCATATCCCCCACCCAAAGAAAGTATATGAACATCCATCTAATACTAGCAAAGGCCAGTGGGTTGTCATAAGTCCTTCATCCCACCTCAAAACGGTTGTTATAGCCATCCACTATTCAGGATCCTTGTTGAGTCAACAGCATCCATGATAAGACTATTCAGTGTGCCTCCCCTACCATTGAGTTCATTGCAAAGTACAAACAACGCTGACATGTGTATCGCGAGGTAGAGAAAGTGAGCGAGAAAAGAGTATCAAAACAAAAGCCAAAAAGGGCTTTGAGCTGGGTCGGATACCCAGGCAGATGTTTATGCCACTTGGACCGTGTCTGCTTCAGGAAGAGAAGCTGAAGCTATGTCAAAGTTGTTGAGATTATTGATGAGTGATGGGTCAACTTCCAAATCCTCACTTTTGAAAACCATAGCTTTGGGAGTGCTGGGATTAAAAAACGATGGTGTGGCGGGAGACCGTCCTGGAGTCGAAATAGTCTGCAACGTCTCCGCAAATGACCCTGAATCGCTGGCCTCTCCAACTTCATTAGTTACATTTTCGTGGTTTTTGTCCTGTTGTTTTTCGCCGGGTCCGGGTGTGACCAAAGGCGTATAATCTAGTTGTGGAGTTGGCTCATTTGTCGAATTATTGCTTCGTTCGACGATGGCCCTCGCAGCGAACACAGATGCGGGAGCAGAGTCAGTCCTGCCTGGTGGCGATGAGGTTATTGGCCTGACAGTAACAGGTCTGGAAGCAGGATGGTCCATTGGAGGTGCGCTTTCAGTGTGGCGGTTCCCACTTGCAGAAGGATTTCGTCCGTGAACAGGGCAATTAGGACAGACAACGGATTCTACTCGCTCAAACCCACGAGGGAGATTATCGTGGGAGGGCATGCGACCATGCTGACCCGACGAGGTTCTCCTTGTTCGAGATTGTCGTCCTCGTGACCGGTGCTGGCTCGTTCTGCTATGCAGTAGCTCGTTGCGAGTCGAGTCTCGAGAAGAGGAACGTTCCGCGGTTGGCATCGTCGAATCATAAGCTCCATTTGTTGCCAGAGGCTTGGGCTGTGGCATTCGACCACGGCTTGCTGCGCGTTGAGTCGTATTGGCCGGATCAGCCGCTGTTCTAGCCTGCTCGCCGCTAATGCTTTGAAGAACATCGCCAAGGTTATTCGGTGGCTCCCCGCGGATTTGGTAGCCTCCTCGGGAAGGCGGTCGACCCGCACTATAGTTATTGTTCCTGAATAGACTCGGGCTTGCAGCTATTGGTATCATATGATCTTCTGTCGGTGGAATGACGGCAGACCTAGGGCGAGTGTTGCTGCGATCTCTCAGATGAGGCCAGTCGTGAGCACGCAAGCCCTTTGCAGACTCGGATCTTAATCTGCTGGCAGACTCGGCACGCTGAGAGATTCCCTCGAGATGTTGTGTAATAGTATTGCTGATATCACGATCTTCAAGTGCTGAATCAGATCTTTCCCTTGTTCCCGTACGGCTTGCGTTTCGGGACTTTGGGGATGGTGGTCTGGCAAGACTGGTATCATGCTTTGTCGGTGATTTCGCTGTCCCCCTAGATGCCCGTGAAGATCTAGAGGCTCTGGATGCCTCAGATGATTCGGATATAATTGTTTCATTGGTTCTGTTCGACGAAGTATTTGACAGGGGACTGAATGCTCTCAGATCCTTTGGAGTTGCATTACTCTGGCTGCGGTTTTGTAATGTTCCAGTACTGAGGGGTCGTATCTCGCCTGTGATTTCTGACCAGGGAAATGGTTCTGGCTTCCTGCCCACCGCAGTAGCGGGTGTCCAGCTAGCGGAATCGGGAGGCATCCAAAACCGCGGACCATCTAATGGGGACATTCCATTAAGGGACAAGGGTGTTCTTCCATCATCTGGAGAAGCAACGGTAAATCGATGATTGTATGGATGATCTTTCAGCTTGAAAGTGTTGGTCGGGTAGCCGCTGAGAGGAGCTGCGCTATTAGGGTACGGCGTACTATCTTCTGGTGGGCGTGTCTGTACAGTTGCATTGGATGCCTGAGACGTATTAGATCGCACTGATCTTTCTGATCTCAAAGATGCAGCGCTTATGGGATGATCTGGCGGATACTGGTGAGGGAGAATGGGAGGCGATTCGGGAATGATGAGCCTGGGTCGGACAGACATAGGTGTCGGACTAGGCGCCGATGGTGTAGGAATGTTAAGACTATCTGTGCCAGGAGAACGAGCCGAGTTGCTCATAACCAATCCTGGGGCAGGCGGAATAGTAATCGTTGGTGCCTGTCGTCTTCTCGTAGAGTCATAAGACCCGTCTTTCGGAAGAGTACAGCGTTGTGACATAGAGGAGATGTGATGCCCTAGTGCGGTTGAGCCTGAAGGATGTGAACTGGTCACGCCATTCAAGGAACTTTGGGTCTGGCCATCTTTCTTCGAATCCTCTGAGGAATGACGGACTTCATTGGGCCGGGGATTGTTGGTCTCGTCATTTCGTTGCAGTCTTCCCGGTGCCTCCATGCCAGCGCCTCGTGGGTCCGGGCGATACACAAGTTTTGCGTAAGGTGAGTTATTGGTGTCGACGACCAGCAACTCTTTTTCCCCGCGTCCTAAAAGACCGTAAACTCTAACCTCGCCGTCCTGGATACCGATGACTGCACTGGTGCCGGCATATAGAGCCTCATCCTCATTCCCTGTGCGATTACAGAATACAACAATAATCTCATCTTCATTCTCTGCGCGAATGAGAGGCTCAAGTCGAGTAACCCAATAAGTAAGTGTTTCCATGTCAGGTTCGTTGGGCATGCGGGTAAACCGACGAGGATCCTCTCTGGTATTCCAGGCCATAGACACAATGACGAGATTTGACTCTACTTCGAGGATATGATAGGCAAATTCGAAGGCATGCCATGGCGCTTCAAACTTATAGGGACTGTTCGACGGTCAGTAAGTCACCCAACGCATCTCACGCTTCTTCTTGCCACATACTTTAAGTCCATGCCTATCCAAAGTGGTCAGTATAGTCCAAAGGTAAGAACCAGAGAAGAACTCACAGATTCCTATTGAGGTGTTTCCCAGTCCAGGAATGAAGCCCTCGTAAAACCCTTGCCCTCCTTCTAGTGCCCAGGTTTCATCTGTTTGGTATAAAAAGGACTTCCGGTAGTTGGCTATTGTCTCGCCATCCCCATTGACGACAATAACAGAGTTATAATATTCCGGACCTGTGGGCCACTTTGGTGTGACGTCGACTTTCTCAGGGTATCCAACCGTCACGGTACAGTTGTATTTGAGGGCGATGGTCCTGGCCCAGAGAGACGTGATGCCGGAGCCAGAGGGTTCAAGAAAAGGAGCAATATCGTGCAGTGATTTGAAGTTGTACCCTTCTCAAAGTATTAGCATCGCATAGTCAAGAATCTGTAGAACAAGATGGTGAAGGAAGTTAACAGAAATCAATCAACTTCATCCACTCTAAATAAATTACCAGAGAAAGCCAGCTCGGGCAACACAAGGAGATCCAGATCATCTGGGTTTGCCCTCGATAATACTGAATCCGCGCGATTCAAATTATTATCAACATCTCCCACCTGGGGCGCAAACTGCAAGCACCCAATTCTCATGACTGCGATTGCGCTGAATTGTCGTTTGTGAGTAGATGCAACGCTGAAATGAACGAAGACCCCGCAATGGCGACACGTCTCTCCTGCTGAACAAGGCCTTGGACTGGTGAGGCCCGGAGCTGTAATAAGCTCAACAAGCAAAGCGGTCGAGAATACCACAACAAGAGAGAAAATACAGATGACGAAAGAACCAAAATATAGAAAATCAACAACTAAAGGGGAGGAGGAGAAGAAGGATGCAAAAATAATCGTGGAGAACGCCCACCGTGTTAGGCACAGGTCGAGGAACCAACGGGTATATCTAGTGACAGTTGGGGGCTGGGCAAGTCCTTGACAATCCATGGGAAGGCCACTAGACCGGTGCCGCATGTAAGCTCAGGAATCACCCGTCACTCCCATGGGCTCAGCCTTAACAAGAGTGTTCGGAGCTACTGAGTGACAAGGGTTACAAGATTGGCGCTGAGAGGAGCCTCGATGATCCTCCCTGTCTATGCTGTGTGCCAGTTCAGGGCCTCAGCAGAGCTTCGCGGGCTGCTAAACACACATCGCCTGGTGATTTAATTGCTCCTTGAAGCGCTCGACCCCCCGCCAGCTGCCAGCAACGGGCGCATCTACGAGAAAACGGGGCCCAATGGACGGTAAGCGTTAAGCGCCCAACAACCCCGCGACAAGGGTTCGGGCCTGGCCCTCCCGCACTCCCGGAATCTCTATACCATATCTGGGTTTCGCTTGGTTGGTCTCGAATTGATGTCACTGGTCAGTGTTGTCTTCGTGACAACCCATTTCTGAGCATGGGTAGGTGGATTTCTTCTAATTTGTGGAGCAGATGATTCGACGTTTCGTTTATGACCAGGAAGAAGAACCAGGCTACCAGGGCACTTAATGCAGCTTTAATAAGAGCTAACACGGATTGTACAGCACATTGCTTTCAATCACCTTTGAGAAATAAACGAGGATGTGCGAGTGATTACCATGGGCTTCAGCTTAAGGACCATCTAGCCTCATTAGATCTTTGGTGACAATTCAGGAGTACATAGCAGTTCAGCCTTCCAATTTATCTGCAGGTCAGATACATGTTTGGAGTGAAGACTTCTAGTTGATCTTCCCAAAAGGCCGAAGGCAGTTGTGACTGATTGCCTCCATTCACTGGACTCTCCTGACAACTACTTCTGTATTCTTCCTGTGAGTTTCCTTACATATTGATGTTTGTGAGTTATCATTCCGTATTTCGAAACTATTCAGAAGTTAATATCAATATATTTCATACTCGGTTTTAACGACACTGATGGTTCTTTCTTCTGTTAGTGCAACGGCCATCATCTGATGCCTAGTAACTAAGACCAATCAACATACGCAAATACATGTTTCAGCGTCGCCTTGAACTTCAAAATCCCTGGACCAACGAACGTGTGCTATTGGTAATTATTTTCCAGACTGTACCGTCTGTGATGAACGTTGCATTATATCCACCCATGACGACAGCCAGTCATGATAAAACTCAGCACACCAGAATGTTGACCGCGACTTTGGCTCCTTCAATCACCAACAAGTGGAATGTATGAACAAGCATTCTTCCTCCAGCTATGAATGCCATCCTTTATCCTTCGACGCCCTTGTTCCTTGGTCATATATTCACCTTTCACCGCTTAAGAACCTACTCAACTACCTATGGAATGGGTGCCGGAACGACATCACAGGACGCAATGATCACGTGAGTATCCATTCATGTCATGATTCGATACTCACGGGAGCCTGTCAAGTTCTATGCTTCTAAAGGCGACAGCCGCGCGCCAAACTCCGATGTCGTCTAACAGCCGATGTAGGGGCTTGTTGGTTGTTATTGCTCTCATTTGTTTCATGTTCCTTCGCTGCCAGTAAAATATAAAAACCATGACAAACACTGCAGTCGGTTTCCGCAGGTAAATTATTGCGAGACTGTCCCCCTCGGGGGGAATCCACGGCCCACGATGGGTTTGGTTTACATCAAAATTGTCGGGTGATCCACCGATCTGAGGCCTTGTTTTATCCCCCCGCCTCCCAAAAAAAAAAAAAAAAAAAAACTCTTTGCTGATCATCATGTCGGCTGCCGATGCCGTTGGTGAGGTTAGATGACCAAGACTTAGTCTCAGGTTCGAGTGATACGAAAGTCCTGAATCCCGGAGGCCAAAACTGTATCTTTGTTTCCAGTCACGCATGTGCAAGTTTGCGTTTTGTCTTTGACCGCTTCGGTGCCGAGGATATGACTGCCATATCAGATGTTTCTTGTGCTCTAGACCTCTAGGCTTGGGCGACGTTCCTAGTAGACAAATATCACTTTCAGAGGTCTACTATGCAGCAGAATGATCAGCCACTAATTGTACATCCAATTTGCAGGGCTACCCAGGCATAGGTAGACCACACAGATAGTCATGGCTGACTGTACCAGTGGACAGAACCAATATAATCAAGATAGGTGCACATAACTCCTTAGGTAGGTGCGCCGAACCCCTCTAGCAGTCTATCATTCAGATACATCTTGCTCCTTGTCAGCCCAATAAGATCAACTGTAAGTAACCAGCAAAGATGACCGAGTCTACACAAGTAGCTTACCCTAAACCTTCAAGCTCTCCTCGTGGTCCCATCTCGGCAGTAAAGTTATGCTGTTCATGTCAGCCATGTTTAAAGAGCCTATTACCATGGCATGTTCCTTTTCATGTGTCCCCATTTTTTGTGCAGCAGAACTCAAGTTTGGGGATCAAACTTTGCAAAGGGTGTTGGGTTATGGTATCGAAGGCCAACAACGTTGATGGATTAGTCTAGGTATAGCTTGTAGTGTAAATTGGTCATTACAAGACTTTGAAACAGATCCGAGGGAATGGGGTCTATTTTAAAAAGCCTCATCGACAGCTGGTACGATGACGGCACAATGGCGAGATGGGCTTTTCAACATTCGACGACTCAGAAGATGATGGCGCTTCGTCGGATGAATCAACACCCTTACCGCACCGACTTACTGTAGACGAGCTGGCTGGATGCAGTTCCAATCACTATCACATGTATCTTATTGGCTAACCCTAACTCAGATTACAGGGAACAAATGAACAGCAGGGTTTAGCGCGTCTGCGGCAGTATGAGCGCTTGTAGCTCGCGTGGAATGAGAGCAATATACCCGAAATAGCGAGGTAAGAGAGACGCAAGGACGTTGGGGAATGAACACGCGCGCTAAAATGGGAACTAAGGATGAGAACGAGAGAAGACGAAATAATGTGTCGGAGCAACCTTTGCAGGATTATTGGATGGAAGAGTCAAGACAAGAGAAGATCACTGACGTATTCAACTTGGAACATCGCTTATCTGTTTATCGCCGGGGAACCGGCTTTAACGGTCGATCAATCTGCCAGTCAGTCACTACGGAAGTGTTGTGAGGAGCCTGGCATCTACGGAGCTGCCTGACTGCTTACATAGTAGGCGTTGGCCTCGCAAGCTGGCCGGCGTTTGCGACGCTTTGCAGAAGAGTATTGATTGGCTTATGGTGCTCGCCAAAGACTACTATCCCTGCCCACGCATAGTCTTAACCGCCAGAGAGCATGCACAGAAGTACTGATTGGCCAGCTACCGGGGTTTCCAAGGGTCTCCGGATTGAAACAGCAAACACCATTGGTTAGCTCTTAACTCGGTTTCTATTCTGAGCTGGCACACTCTTACACCTTGTTCCCCTCAGTCTAGCGACTGTCAATCCTATTATAGGACACTTCGAGATCCAGCCGATCCCGAAGCTACCACATAGGTGAAAGCTGACAACTGAATGCGGCAAGCTAAACTTTGAATCCCAGCAATTGTCGGGTTGCTCAAACCACACACATAATGTTGTACCAAGGATGTCCTACGCGGTATCTGCTTGATAAATCAGTCATGATGCCCACATGCCTTTTTCGAAGCCTGACTTCCCACTCCATGTTATTTGATGCTTGTATGTTGGTTCATCGTGAACTTTCGGGCCTGCATTGTTTCATTGAAGATCAGCTGCTGTACCCATTTGCCTCACCACCGCGTTCGAAGATTTGAAGTTGTCAACACGGCCTGCCATGCTGGGGGTCGTTCCGTGACCACTTGTCCTCCCCCCTCTTCGAGTCTCAGCCTTCGTCTTTCAAACCGACCCGTTCAACGCGAAACGAAGACTTCATAATGCGGGGTCTTTTTCTTGGACTGAGCACAATAGCTCTCTCCTCTTCCTCTAGCTTTGCCCTTCATTTCACGACGGAGTCAGAATGTGCCGCTCTATGTTCGGATGGCTCAAATTCAACAACCTCGAACCCTCAAACCTCCACAACAAATTCTACAGACGTTGTATGCGAGGACAATGAATATTCAAGCTCAGGGAATGGCATCAGGTTTAAAAACTGTCTCAATTGTCTCCAGAAGAGCGATACCACGTGGAAAGAACAAAGTGATGTGTATTGGTTTCTGTGTAAGTCCCAGTATATTACAGCTCTGACCTCACTAACATGGTTGTGGTGCAGACAACGTGCGATATGCGTTCGATGTCTGCCTGTACTCTTACCCAGATGCGGCGGACTCGGGTACTATCAATTCCCCGTGCAACATTGAAAGCTCATGTGGCTCTCTCGAAGATGCTCTGACGGCGTCACTATTGAAGACTACCCCCGATAACCAGTTCGACTATTGCGAAGCCGAAAATTCAGTCATCAAGAGTTCCAGTTACAGCCAGTGTATCGGCTGTCTGCAGTCAACATCGAATCAAAAGTATCTGGCCAACTGTAGGTTCTCTGTATGCTGGCTCTTCGAAAGAAAAAAAAAAACTAATAAGGACCTAGTTCTGGTGGCATTGAAAGCAGGCTGTATTCAAGAGCCTAAGAAAGGCGATATCCTTGGCCTTAGTGGCACAATTTTCACTCACACACTCATCAATATTACTGATCCTAACACGAACCAAACTCTGCCTGGCGATGATGGTGCTCCCGTTGGCTCTATGACCACTGGCACAATCGTTGGTATCGCTGTGGGATGCGGGCTAGGCATAGCTGGCATGGTGTGGCTTATCTTCATGTACTGTCGACGAAGTCGACAACGTCGTGGTGCAGGAGTCAAGATTGAATCACCACCTCCTGATGCACCAATGAATGACCCTTCTATGTATGGAATTCACAAGTCTTCTTACTTTACCGACAATGCTGGATATCCCGGGCGCTCGGCGCAGCCTCATAACCATGCTGGAAACCACATCCGCACAATGTCTAATGCGGAGTATTACGACAGTTTCGAACAAGATAGCAGCGGTATTAATGGCAAGGTCAGCTATCACTATGCACCGCACTCGAAGAGCAATGGTCCCAATGCTGCACTGCCAGCACACCCAGCCTACATACCCAGAGTCGTCAGCCGTCTTCCCGATGCTAAGGCACCGAGTTCTCTCCGGCATACCATGAGATCCAATGTTCCCGATTCATATGCTCTGCAGACATATCTCAGTGCTGCAGAGCCTGCAGGAACTGACACTCAGCGGATCGGAGAGGTGGCATCTTTGAGTACTTCGAGCTCGCGTGTTGCGAGCCGCGACCCTTCCCCTGTACCACATCATCCAGCCACTAGACCACCAATATCAGCGGCGGCTCCAGTTCCTGCCCCCGAAGCCGTCAAAACCAAGCCATCCTTCGCCTTCCCTTCTCTATCAAAACTCATCATTCCCAAGAAACAGGGGACCCCACAGCTGAATCTGTTATCAGCAACCCCTATATCAGCGATTGATAATGATCCACGACATGAGCTAAGGATCTCCAGGCCGTTGGCTGTGTTGGATCCAAGGTTCCAAGACCGACCGCTAGGAGGCGGCATTGTCCTAGCAACTGAGGTGCCGGCGGGGTTCAGTGACGACTATCTCAAGAGGCGGGAAGCAAACAAGTCTCCCATGTTAAGCGGCAACAGTCGCGTTTATGGATGATGATAAAATACTATTTATTCACATAAAGAGTTTACATGTCGGTAATTTCGGTATTACAGAAACCTTTGGTTTGGTTCAAGCTTGGAGTTATTTGGTCGACATGTCCAGGCAAGACGTGCCTTAGACCTACAATACAGATGGTAGGCACAGGAGTTCTATGGGTAGTGATAATTCTTTCTTTCATCCTATTGTATACCCTGCAAGTGACAACGTAAAACGGGCATGTTTCAGCCCAGTCGCTGGCCCGGGCCACGAGACCGCCACGAATCTGGCAAAGGACCTGCGCTGACACCAGTGCTACGTCCAGAAGACGGTGAATTCCCAGGTCGGATAGCAGTACCGAAACCTCTGGCAGTGATTCTTGGTGTCTGCACAAGACGCTCAAGCCAGGCAGGGGTTCTCAAAAGTCGAGGGCCGTTCCCGAACTCAGGCCAGATTCTGGCGAGGAAATCGAACAGATGGGCGGCGAGTAGACCCTCAATTTCGACCAATGCCTTCTTTGGTCCTACCATGAGCGCGCCGACAATGATCATGCAGATGGGCAGCGCCTGGGCGGGGATAGTAAGAACGAAATACTGTGTTTTCTGGCCGCGCTGGTCTTGGGTAATGGTGTAAACCATGGCAAGGATGAGGCCGTTCATGTACAAGAAGCTCGTCAGTCCGGCCAGGTAGTCGATCATCTAGCGACGTCGTTAACCTCAATACAGGCACATGACATACGGGTACGTGTTTGGGATATTTGATGTATTATTGCTATGATATAAAAATGTAGGGAGCTAAAAAACCACTCGAGTGAATTGGGGATCACACGAGCCATCCATATAGACATCCCACCATGCCTGCACCGCAGACCAACCCGGAAATGCGAATGATGGGTGATCCGAAGTGCAGGGGTGATCTTCCTCATTTCCAGGAACCGTGATAGCTGAAGAGGCAAAGCACTATCCGGGCAGATATATGAGGGGGGGTTTGAAAGAAACACATGGGAGAGTAGCAAAGCACGGGTGTATAGACGCAGGCTTACCAGAATTACGGTGCAGACAAATAATATGTAGAACACAAGATCGACCTTGCGTGGGAAACGTGGGTTCCCCATCTCCAACTGAGCGCTGTAGCGATACAGGAAGAACGAGTTCATGAGCAAGTTGATCGGCTGCGTTTCGATGAAGAAACATGTTACGAGTCGCCAAATTTGAGGTGGAAACATCCAAAGGTACGATGGGTGATGAATTAGACGCATGACTGGCAGTAGCCCGACGATGCAACCAAGGGAGGTCAACACTGCAGCAGTAACCAGATTCCTGTGGCACAGTTAGCGAGTGCTATCGAGTACACAAATGAACATGAGCGACTTACCTAGAAACGGGTGGCAGGGCCCAGTAGGCGGCCATCGCATTGTCAGCCATGGTGGGCAACTTTGCTCAATGAGGAGACGGTGGTATTAGCAAGTCAACGAAAGCTGAGTTAAGAGAACTTTTTCTGCACGAGGAAGAAAAAGAAAACAAGTGGGAGCTCAGCGGACGTTTTATGTAGAAAGAGAAGAAGAACGAGACTTTGCGAAAGCAGGTAACCAGGGGCTCATGGTTATTGCTTGCGTGTCATCTTCGCTCTTTGTCTTTGGAAGAGTGTGGAAGGAGAGGAAGCAACAGCTTGGAAAAAATCCAATAAATGAACAATCCGCTATAGCGGGGCGCCAGATCGGGGCCGACGTTCCGCCGAGATTGAAGGCCCTCGGTGTGGCTAGTAGGAGCTCGCGCCACACTTGATGAAGCGTGTGTCATGGAAGCGGAAGTGACCGGGCTTCGGGATCTCCAAGCTCACGAACATATCGTCTGATATTGCTGTAAAACTTTTTTATTGTATTCACTCATCAATTGGCTCTGGGGTCCTCTCAGATACTGAGTTTTGGACACTGGGCCCTGAGGCATCAACATCACAGACAAGATCAAACCATCATCATGCGTGCTCACGATGCTATGCAGAGCGAGGAAGCCAATGATGCTGCTTGGGAGGCTGCCAGAGGAGGTGTTGCTGGTGCAGTCAAGTGGGGAATAGGTGCCGCAGTGTTGGGTGCTGCCGGCTATATCTGGTCGCCCTTGTATCGATCCATGACGGTTCAATTCAAAGTGTAGGGCTCATTCTCACAGCTGATCCATTCTGATACTGACCTTTTCAAGGTATTTACAAATGTGTGGCATGGTACCTGGGGCCATGATCGAGGCAGACTCACGGCTTAGAGCATACGAGCACCGAGTGAGAATGCAGCGGCGGTTGATGGGAGACAGGGCTAAATGGGAACGGTATGAGGAGGAATTTATCAAAGGTGATGGCAAGTGATCGCCTCTGGCGCGGAAACAGAGTCCCTATGATCTCAATCTCTCACTGAAAAGTCTTGACTGTAACTGCTTGGGGTATAACGGCGTACATATGTCACATTAGAGATGACCATCGAGTCGTCTGTGTAAATCACATTACTTTAGCATCTTTCTTCGCTTTCTCAGTCGAATACCAACTCCAACGCCAATGATGCACCCATGCCTAGATTCATCTCCATATTCTATACCCGAAATCGCTTAGGATCCATGTTGATTTTGCATAGCCGGACGACGCATCCGCTGAGCTGGAGTAGTGTCTGCACACCTTCAAGGACCTTCATATGTGTAAAGCCAATCTCTTTGATAAACTCCAGCTTTGCATGTTCGCTCAACGTAGGGATTGTTTTCGTCACCTTGAACATAGTGCTAATAATGTCATGGCTTGAATAACCTAGATCCCAAAGTTCGCGGAGTGTTTCCAGTGCGGAATCAACATTGCCTTCATAGCAAGCCTTCAGCATCGCCTGCACCTTGATCGGATGAGGCGAGTCAACAACCTTGAAGACATTGTCTCCTGACACGAAGCCAAAACCGGCAAAGGTGGATTGAAGGTTATTGATAGCTTGTCGCATATCTCCCTCGGCGCTAAAAACCAAGGCTGCAAGTCCATCGTCACTGTATTCGACCTTTTCCGCCTCAATAATTTGCATGAGTCGCTTTACGACTTGAGCGTCCGTCAATTTGGCGTATCGTAGGATGGCGCATCGTGATTGGAGGGGTTCGATGATCTTGTTGGACTGGTTGCAGGCGAAAGCAAATCGTGTAGTGTTGGAGTAGATCTCCATAGTTCGTCGAAGGGCTTGCTGAGCACCCGAAGTCATGCTGTCGGCTTCATCGAGAATAACAAGTTTATGACGCCCCGCAGGCAAAGTGACCTTCTTTTGGGCGAAGCCCTTGATTCTGTTTCGGACAACATCAATGCCTAGCTGCGTCAGTGAGATAGTCATCACATAAGAGGATCCAAGTACCTCGCTCGTCACTGGCATTGAGCTCCAAGACCGCCTCCTTGTACGATTCACCTAAGAGTTGCCTGGCCAGACATAGCACACTGGTGGTCTTTCCAATACCAGGCATACCGGAGATGATTACATGGGGCATGTTGCCCTCTCTAGCAATGATCTTGAGTCTTTCGATCGTTTCCGTGTTTCCGACGACATCGTCGAGGAACACTGGTCGATACTTTTCCACCCTAGCAACAATCAGTGAGCAATTCTTCAAGGGGCATGAAGGGCGTACCAGGGAAGTTCATAATTTGTGGTTCCATTTGAAGAAGCTTTGAGGGCCGCCTCTGAGGCAGAGTTCGACGATTCGCCACGTTCCTCGGGTTTTTGGGAAGACATTTTGGGTATGCTGTTGTGGTGAGATCGCTGATTCTACAACTGAAGCCTGAAATGTATATCAATCACTTTACGCGACTGAGAGAATAGAGACGCGTCGAGTGAATGGCCCGTGCGCTAGAACCTGGAGCCAAGGTAGTGCCCCACTCCTGCCACCGCTTTCCTCTTTCTATGGCAAAATCTTGTCAGTGCGATAACTTTTTTGAGTCTGTCAAATAGCCAACATATCACCAACAGTATCTTGAATCCACAGCTTCTGGACGAGCCGCGACGAAAACACAGCTGCAAAACTACCAAACCCGCAGCAACTTCAATTCTCAAGCTTCACACAGTATCAAGCAGCCATGGGCGTTCAGAAAAAGACTCGCAAATTCGCAGAGGTATGCATCCTTATCGATAAGCGGCGCAAAAGTTGCCCAAATTTCAAGATATCCACGACGATGAGACGGGGCGCGCAAATATCGAAAGCACCTCAGATGCTGACCACATGCGCAACAGGTGAAACGAGTTATCGGTCGTCGCGATGCCAGACTAAAGGAAAACAAACTCAAGGCTGAGCTCGCTCAGAAGGAGAAGGAAAAGAAGACCATCAATGGCGAGCTCATCAGAGAAGCGCCTCAGATGCCCAGCAACATGTTCTTTCAACACAACACAGCTCTCGTTCCTCCCTACAACGTCCTTGTGGATACCAACTTTCTCAGTCACTCGGTTCAGCGAAAGCTCTCTCTTCTCGACTCCATGATGGATTGCCTCTATGCGAAGTGTAACCCTATCATCACATCCTGTGTGGTAAGCCTCCAGCTCTAAGCTTGAATCCTTCAGACTGTGACTAACACTCTTAGATGAGCGAACTTGAGAAGCTCGGACCCAAGTATCGACTGGCCCTAAGGGTTGCAAGAGACGAACGATGGACACGGCTTGAATGCGATCACAAGGGCACCTATGCAGACGATTGTCTAGTGGACAGGGTGCAGAAATCCAGAATCTATATCGTGGGGACAAATGATAAGGCACTCAAGCAACGGCTACGAAAGATTCCCGGTGTGCCAATCATGAGTGTGGCAAGGGCCAAGTACGTGATAGAGAGGTTGCCCGGTGCGCCTGACTCCTAGGTGTTCTTTTTGTTATTTGGGAATGGGGGATTTGCATTTACGAGTTTGCGACGCATCGCATAGCTTGGTTCTGGCCAGCAATAATGTCGTTGAGCCTGGTTACTATTTGAAAGGGTTGTTATGCGATGTTCTAGGGTAACTAGGTACAAAATTCAACGGGTATTTACACTCGTTCATAGTAGAAGGGCAAGCTACTACGTATTCAATTGATGTCTGGTGTTCACCTGAGCTGTGATTCTTTTGTTTCAAGGTCGGATTAGTCAAGTATTTAAGTCCGCTAGCCGAGCAATCGTGATTGAACTCATACAATGTACCCCGGATATAAGTGGCCGTGAATCCTTTGGTGACATGTGATTGGGTGTTCATCAGTATCTTACTAGGTAGGTATATTAGCATCTGACATACACCTTAGGATACGCTTAGGATACGCACTCATCGTCAAATCCTCCTATTGAAGCGTCAAATGCGACTTACACAAAGCCAATACCACACACTGTACAAGTATTGTTGACACTTAAGTTGTTCCTTGACCTTCGGAACGCTCTCACACCAGCGCATTATCTGACGGAGATGGAATCCAGCCCGAATGATAATGATCAGTCATCAACATCTGAAGCCCGCCAGAAGCGCTCACGCGTTCTTCTATCATGTGCACCATGTCGCAACTCAAAGTTGAAATGTGATAGAGAGCAACCATGTGGGCAATGCTCCAAAAAGGGACGCGCATCTCAGTGCACCTACGCCCCAAAACCTGAACGGAAACGGCCTGCCAAGGGCATGTCCGCGCGTTTGAAGCGTCTCGAGGGCATGGTGCGGGAGATGATGGATTCTGAAGGTGTAGCCCCTGGAACCCAAGTAGGTACCGGAACTGGGGCAGCATTGGCGAATGGTACTGCTACAGGACCGGACGTCCAAGGCCACGTCGTACACAGCAAGAAAGGGGCGACCTACGTTGGCGCAACGCATTGTATGGCAATGTTGGAAGATGTACGTATTTGTATAGGAGTCTGGGTTGGCGATATGGAGCTAGGACTAACGGCGAGTTAGATTGAGGACTTGAAAGACTACTTTGAACAGCCCGAAGAAGCTGGAGAGGATCAATTCCTAGACGATGAGATTGATCCCACAGAAGTCATGTTGAACACAAGAGCTGGACCAAGAAACCGTGAGGAGCTATTAGGTCGCCTACCGGAGAGAAAGGTCGCAGATAGACTTCTTTCGCGTTACTTTGCGTCGATGAGTCCTTCGCAGCGTCAGCATGTCCCGCTAAACACCGAATGCTTTTACTGACAATTGCCAGATATTGTTCACCGGCCAGTTTTTACCAGGCAGTATTCTAAGTTCTGGCAAGATCCTAACGAAGCATCATTGCATTGGATAGCACAATTGTTCATGATGCTCAGCCTTGGCGTCTTTTTCAATAACTTTATCAATTCAAGTGAGCTCGAGGGTGACTCTCCTCTCCCAGCTCAGGACAGGATCCGTCACTACAAGGCTTGTGCTGGTTGGGCTCTCGTCTGGGGCAAATACACGCAACCATCCTCGGCAACACTCCCTGCGTTCTTGCTCTACGTCGAGTCATCCTTCCTCTTCAACCGTGCAGCTCAAATGAACTGCTACGTACTCTCAGGCGTGTGTATCCGTCTGATGCTCAAGATGGGTCTCCATAGAGACCCAAGTAAGCTCGCGAACATCTCACCTTATGAGGGCGAGATGCGGAGGCGCATGTGGAACATGGCCATTCAAGTCGAACTTCTCGTCTCTTTCCACATGGGCCTTCCGAGCATGCTGCAAGGTATAGAAACCGATACCGCAGTACCAAGAAATCTAGATGACCATGACTTTGACGAAGATTCAACGGAACTGCCTCTTAGTCGACCGCCTACAGACTGGACCTCCATGACATATCCAATCCACAAGACGCAGATTCTTCGGGTGTTTGGACAGATCGCGAGACAAGCTCATGCTCTGACACCGCCAAGTTATGCTGAGGTCGCCAAGCTCGATAACTTGCTGCACGAGACTTGGAAGAGTGTCCCATCTTTCATGATGGTACGGCCACTAGATGAGTGTGTCGGTGATCCACCCGTTCTGCTCATCCAACGTTTCGGGTTGACAGCCCTATACAACAAATGCCGTATTGTATTGCATCGTCGGTATCTCGCAGAGGCAATTCCGCAACGTGAGCATGATTACTCACGCAGGCAATGTCTGGAGGGTGCTTTGTCGCTGCTCAATTACCAACACATCATCTGGGAAGCTTGTAAGCCAGGTCACGTATTGAGCCAACATGGTTGGTTTGTCTCTTCCCTCGCAGTTCATGACTTTCTCATGGCCGCAATGGTGCTTTACCTCGTCGTCAAGAATGAAAACTACTCAGAGGTTGGAAGTGACTATGACTGGATATCGCAGACTGCACCAACACCAACTAAAAATGAATTAATTTGTATGATCAAGAGGTCTTGGCTCATCTGGTCTGATGTGTCACGAAACGCAGTGGAAGTCAAGAAAACAGCAGATACACTGGCTACAATGTTGGCCAAGCTCGGAGCTCCAGTTGAAGAGCCGGCAAGTGCCCTTGAACAAGGTGTTCCCAGTGCTAGTGGTGATAACCAATACTCTTCGCTTGGGGCACCATCTGTAGACCCTAGCACACTGGGGTCGATCGGAGGTGATCCGGCACTGCTCTCGAGTCTGGGGTTGGGTAAGACGTCCCAAGAAATACGATAGATAAGAGATATGCTTACAAGGATAGGCTCATCAACGGGATCTACATCAGACCAGACACCCCTGGATCTCAATCTGGCAGGAGATGCAGGAACTAGCATGAACTTTACGAATATGGGGACGGAAGGTCTTCAGTTTGATCCGACTTGGATGGATACCGCAGCCAGCAACATGGACTGGGTAAGTTGTGTCGTAGTCGTTATCATGAAAGCGGTTCAAATGGCAAACTAACAATTTCGGCAGCGTTACCTCGATATATCCCTGGCTCACAGTCATGACGCTGGACGCAACGAAGACACTGGCCAAACGTGGATAGAGAGGGCACCACCATTGGAACAAATGGATATCATGAGTTCAGGAATCTGGATTCCAGATCATCCTGAATCGACTTGAGGACAATCAAGCAACATCTTCAGAAGTGTAGTTACGGTTATACTAGAATCGATCATATTGGCAATCTAAAACCAGGTTTTGATCACGACAGCTTTTCGTATCTTGTTGATAACTTGTTGAGTCAGATAGTAAGATGTGAAGGCTGATAACGCTTGAGACAGATCGTCATCCGGGTAGTCACCGCTTTAACAAACGAAAGGGTGGTGTGGCCCTCACGAACTGTTACAATCATCGGGCCATACAATGCATAGACAACATTCCGAGCTCGGTCCGCTTTCTGGGGAAACGAGATCCGGGGGACTAGCTAGCAATCCCCGCAGGGCATTTAGATGTTGATGATTTGGATGAAGCTCATCGAAGTGAGTGAGGATTCAGGCCTCTCATGTTTGACCCTTGTTTCTTCTTTTTTTTTATCAACACGCAATAATGCCGCAGTATTTGGTGATTGAACAGTCGGCACAAGATCATCATTGTGACAGTATCACCAATATTGCGAAATGGCTGACGTGTTCGCCTTGGAACACCCACCGATAAGCATGTCAATACACGATATGATAACAACAGAAGCCAATCCAAAGGATCATGGTGATTACAGGGATGTATGACGTCGATCCGGGGAATTGGTTGATAAAATTAGTGGCGCCGTATCCTCCGCGGAGATGGTCATATCAGTTGCGGCGTCGGGATCCCATCCGTCGACACAACATACATAAACTTGCACGACACCATATAAGCAACACGGAACTCCCGCCGAAGTATACTGTACGTTCCGAAAATGTCGGCTTGCAGTGCAGTCGAGTATTGAAAGTAATGTCTATTGATCAGGTCGTGTGATTGCGTTTGATAGACCGCCAATTCGCAATTTGAACCTTCTGGAACGAAATCACGGTTCTAGAGCATGACGGACGGGTCCATACGCCGTGTATTGAGCAGGTGACCGGCAAGCCACCCCTGAGCCGATTAACCCTGGAGGACCAAAAGGTATTCATGCAAGTCAAAGTCGCACAAGGGCAACGTCAATCATTGCTGGCAGCGTGAGGTCCCAACCATGAACCGTTTTGATCGTCTTCAGACCGGCTCGTAATGAACAACATCAGTGAGATTTGTATTGAATAAAGTAAAAATACCCAAAGGAACTCTGAAAAGGCCTTTGTGCATCCAATATGTCAAGAAACTGCAGAGTCCACTGTAAGTCAAACCAACAATGCTTCTGCCATCAATAACTATGACAATACCACACACTAGGGGAAGTTACCCGCCACGATGGAGAGCTCTCGAAAAGCATAGCATAGCAGAAGATCGTTTCGTTTCGTTTCGTTTCATTTCGTTTGCGAGTCTGGTGACCAACAAGGGCTTCATGGCCATCCCACGACGCCGCTATCAGTTGCACGAACAAATAGGCAGCTTGATGTTAGTCGTGTTGTCAAGTTGATGAGAAATGGATTCGGGTTGAAAATTTTTGACTGGAGAGTCGTGGTACTGCCTGGATACTTTTACCTAATTTGAACGCTACTTCGGCACTTCTTCAACCACCTCCACTTCTATCGTGGGCAGCTTTCTGCCCTGGTCTTGTCTTTTCGGGGTCGAATACCACCAAATATCTGGCCGCCGGCCAACTGGGTATTCAGTTCCAAAGGAAGAGCAAGAGACCAAGACCTGGATCATGGACCTGGACCCGAACCTCAATTTAGTAGCGGGAGCGTGCGTTCCTAGTCTGTTCGCTCCCGCGGGGATGCGAAGATGTGTTTCGTTCGTGGAGGGCAGGCAGGTAAAGTCATGGATCGTTTGTTGGCCTCTCAGTAGCACCGGTATACTGTTCCTCTGCTGGTTGGTACGACCGGCTGCCCGCTTAGATTGCTTAATACTCTAATAAGGTTGATCACGGGCAGAGCCTCAGGGTGGTCCTAACGGGCTTGGCAATGGCTGGTGACATTGTGGTGGTTTGATCGTTCATGATTGTGAAGGTGGAAGAAGGGAAGAGAAGAGGTTGAGAAATTGAGGGAACGTTTGTAAGTCGATAGATTAGATAGGTGTATTCCGATGGAAGTGAAAAACAACTGCCATTTACGGATAATACTGCTGGGACTGATAACTAATAAGCGCCTGCCCTATCAAAGTTCGGCCTGTCGGTGACAAGCTGAAGTCTGCAACTGAAGCGACCTGTCCAACATGCGAGCCTGATACTTCAGCTCGCGCGGCAACCTATAACCAACTGCCTTTTGTATTCCATGCCCAGACAGAGAGCATTAGCTAGACCATCATTCTCTCCAACCAAATCATGCCAGAATGCCTCGGCTGCAATGCAGTCACCATCATGAACGAGGATAAGTGAGGAGTGAGGAGTGAGGAGGTACATGAGACATCAGCTCCCCTCTCCGACCTGATATTGGATTCATGATAGTGTGGAGGAGGTAGTATTGCGCCATACGTGCCAATCGTGGGGGAATCACTGCGCCGCATAGGCCAAAAATGGAGAGGCCACTTCCATCATGGTCCTGTCTGCTTAATCTGCGCCGAACTGTTGGGTGATGATGAGGGGTTGATTTAGCAAACAGGTACTAGACCAGGTCAACATCAAGGGACGGACCAGCCGTGGTCTTGTGATGCATTCATCAGGCTAACATGAACCGAATAGGAGAAAGCAAATTACTCTAATTCTCTATCTATATGTCTCGACAACAACGTTGTAGATGGAATCGAGTAAAAGCTATGTAATGGGAATGAGGACCGGCGCCTATTGGCGAATGATGGTGTTGGGGTATGGCCGATTCCGCAATCTGGAACCTGGAGCATCCCCGTCGTCTGTGCAAATTGTCTCTATTGTCATGACATGGGTGGCACTGCATTTGTCTGGTTGTGGGTGTTGGACCTGGACCTGGAATTCCTTGTTAGACACCGACATCGACACCTCCATGATTAAAATGACATTTCAACTCGACGACAGATATGCAAGAGCTGCCAAGATGTTACCCAGATCGGCCGCTCACGAGTCGAGTCGAGTCCCCTACTCACTTATTATGCAGGGAAATATTAACCTACACCTATCCGACAGTAGGCTGACTTCATGGCTGATACAAACATGGGGCGCTAAATAAGCTTCCTTGTCAGTTGACTCCGAGACACCGACCTGGAGATATCAATACATCAGCGAGTTCTGGGCGATAAGCCCAGCGCCCTGGATCGCCGATTCAGAGACAAGCTTGAACTATGCTTGGTGTGATTGGCCATCCCCGGACTTTCAATCTGTGCTGGGTTTAGTCCAAGAGAGGGTCTTGTTTGAAGTTTTTAACAATTACGAAGTGGGAGACCGAAAGGAAGATGAGCTCATTCACAGCTAGATGTGAGTGAAATGAGGCCTTCGATGGCATTGCCGGAGGGGCAAATGGGAACACGAGTTTCGTTGGTATTGCGTCCAAACCTTCGCCTTCTAACGACATCCAGCAGGCTCTCGAGAGGTCAGCTCGTGGTGTAAGATTGATAGCGATAGCCTGGAAACAAGGAGGCTCATACCACGAGCAATCAATTTTTGCCCCGATTGGTCCAAGCTTGACCATCTTGGCCGATCCTCTATCCACCTTGACGGCTCCAGAAGCTTTTTCAAGGCGTAGCCGGCCGATTTGAATTTTTTTTACCCTTGGTGACCCTGTTGCCGTGCGCGTCTGGCATTGGCTCCAGCTTTCATATTGGGTAGTGAGTTAACGTAACGCCTCTGGATTCCCGGAAACCATTATTTCCATCGTCATCGCGAGGGTAAGGTAACTTGCACTTGGGTGGTCTGTTTTGACGTCTGTAAATGGCCCACCGAATAGCTGCGTCCAACTACCATGAGAGTGCAGCCCTGGTGCAGGGGCACCTGTAGGCGTCACCTGGGGTCGAAAAGGCAACATTAGGTCTCTTTATCTTTCGTATCTTGCCCTGTCCTGAGTAAGGGAGGAAAATCTCTTCATTTAAAAGGACGGTCAAGAGTTAAACCCGTTTCATCCGGAAAGGTACTTGGTAGAAGTACTGATAAGAAAGATTCGGAGTGGTTCCGTCTAGGTTCAACAAGGTTAGAGGAGAGGCAAGGCGAGACAGGTGACTTGCTGACCGAAATCCTAATGGACAAAAAGGGCAACTGTTAATGTACTCCCATCATGCCATGATACCTGTGTCTTGGCTTGAGTCAGACCATCATCAAAGGTACCCTGATAGTGCATGGTACTTCTGTAGTGACGTTGAATTAAAGATGGCGTTTCTTTTCACTTCTCTTATCAGTCGGTCGAGTCGGTTTCTGCTTGCCGGGTCCGGGTGCGGTTATGGAACTTCTGGTCACTTTACTTTCCCATTGTGACGATGAATCCGGTCTTCGTTATCGCCTGGTGCCCCCCCTCTATCCTCTTTGCTTCCTCTAGCTTTCTATTATCGAACAAGCCAAGTTGGCGAGCATCCATCCCCAGTTTCCAACCCGCAATCTTGAATCTTGTTCCCCATTTCCCCATTCTTTCCATCCTGTTCTACTGCGCTTCTGCACGTATAGTCAGCCCTGACACCCTATTTGTGTAAGCTCTTGAGTGTTGCTGTTGTTGCGATACCCCGCCAAATCAGGAACCGTCCTTTGAATGAGAGGAAGTTAAATACCCGCAGGATGAATGATAAGAAACCAAGCAAGCAATTTCATTCGCTGCCTTATGCTACGGGGTTAATCGTCACGCAGACAAAATGAACTGTAGCGTATACTTGCCGCCAAGCTTGAACTAATACTTAAATAAAAGTTGAGGGTAGATTTTCCCGTACAAGTTAATAAGTTGTCAGCTTAGCTTAGACCCCTCATTCATCGTCAAGGTTGTTCTTGATCCCTTCATTCTTTTCGAGCTACTTGCAGCTTTTGTCTTGGCCCTCTCTGGCTACAACCTTTTTGGACTTCATTGACGCCATCATATTTTTGGTGTCGGTCCCAGATCGTACCCACGAGGGCCTTTGTGTGTGGCTTCATTCAGTGATATCCATACCTGTACCCACCG